GTTTCTGTTTCTCTTAGTATGAATGAGGTTGAGCATGTTTTTATACATTGGAGACATTTGTGCTTTTTTCTGGATGAACCATTCAGTCTGCTCAGTTTTTGTTACAGGAGCTCATTGTAAAGAAAGGATGACCGCGTACAAGTCATTTTAGAAAATATTTTGCATATTGTGTATACAAAGCATTAAATTTAAATTTAACCATAAAAAAGACATTAAAGTGAAACTGGAAGATTTGCTGAACTTTAAATATTAAACAAATTCATAAGATTTAGCAAAAAGAATCTGAAAAACTTGTAGGGTGTCATTACTGGGTTTTGTTTTTTTTTTAACTCCATGTTGTAATTTTAAACAGGCTGAATTGCCTCACTGCTAGGAAAGATAAAGAAAGTAGTATTTATGTGTTTTGCTTCCTCTTCTAATTGAGTTAGACAATGTGGTCTGTAACGTGAGCCCCACAGTTAATTTGTCTTAATTCTACATTTAAATATAGATTTATGGTCACCACCATTCCTTCTACCACAGCCTCTCCACTTTGCTTCTTGGCATCAAGGAAAATAGGGCTATTTTCCCCCTAATAAGAGCTTGCAGCCTAATCCTGGAGCTCTTTCTTGTCTGAGAACGCCACTGTGCTTGACGACAGTTTGACTTGGTCGTTCTCTGGCCATATTTTCTCTCTCTCCAGACTTTCTTACTGCCTTGTCTTTGGTGGAAAACTCTGGAGCCGGCCAGATTTTTTTCTTTGCAGATGACTTGCTTTTTTGACCATATATGTGAAGAATTTTTTTGTTCCACTTAGCCGTTTGATAACTTCGCCATCCTATGCCTTGTTCTTGATCATTCTTTATCAGTTTTCCTTAGAGACCTTTCCCAGGCAGCTTCGCTTCTTCATTTATTTCAGGGAACTTTCTTCAATCACATCTGAATATTTTTTCTGTTCTACTTAGTGGGTTATATACTTCAGAGATACGCGTTTTCCTTATGTTACATCATCTTGTTCTTTGGATCATGTTTTCTTCTGATTGTGTCCGTTGCTGTCCACCTGATGGTCATCTCGGACTCTGCTCTGTTCACTTGGACAGCCAGCCTCGTTTATGTGTTAGCTGTGCAGTGGTGCGTTTCAGTTGTCAGTTCCTTCCTGAGCTTCGCAGTCTCCCTTTCCATCCGTTCTCTTTTATCTGGTGGTCTGGAGACTCTTGCTTTATTGCTGTGTTTTTTTATTGTTCGTCTAGAATGCAAAATATCCTGGAGGAGTTTCATCCTGCTTCTTTTCCTTGTTTGTTTCCTTCCCGATTGGGTCTTTCTCTGTCATGTCCCTCCCTCCTTCCTTTCTTTCTTTTCTTCTGTATTACATATCATATCTTTTCACCTCACTTATGTTTAATGTGGGCGGTTCAGTGAAGCGGTTAAGAGTACAGACTCGAGAGTCTCAGTGTCTGGGATGTAATCTTGGTTCCTCCGCTTAACAGTAATACGATTTGGGGCAAATTACTCTCTGTGCTTCATCTTTAAAATGTGAATAATAATAATAAATTCCCACTTTATAAGGCTGTGGAGGGGACTTAGTGAGAAACAGCGTGGAAAGGTCTTACTAGGCTGATGCTCAGCAACATTATTATTACTGTTTTTCTTGTTGTTGTTAACGTAAGCAACCCCTGGGCTCCTGCTTGATCCAGTGGAGTGCAGGGGAGTGTTCTCACCGGGCACCCAGCACCACTGGCCGTTCCCTCTATGCTCCATTAGGGGCTTAGGGTTGGGGAAAGCGCCTGGTTTGACATCTCGTCTTTGAGACTCTGAGTTGTTGTCCCTTCAGAAACGTTGTTAGAGGTTCCGTTTTGGACTTCACTCCATTACGTCAAAGGTGTGTCTTATTCTTTGGAACCCCTAGGTTTGGGGGGCACCCCCCAGGCAGCCAGCCAGACAGTGGGGATCCAGGTGGCCAGCCCTGCCCCTGCCCACGTCCTGGGGTCTGGTGGCCTTCCTCACAGAGCTCTTCTGTCTCAGTCCCCAAGTGCTTACTCCCCGCTCGGTTAACTTCTGAATCCATTGTCAGGGTTTTGCGGACTTACTTCTGTCGGTGCAACGGGCAGGGTGAGGTCAGCCTCCATTCTCAGCTGTCCCCAAATCTTCTGTCTCTCACCCTGGTCATCGCGTTTCAAAGTGTGTAGATGAGGTCCTGCTCCTTTCTTCATTGGCTTATTTTCTGCTCTTGAAAGTTCTCCTGGCTGCTTTTCACTTCTTCTTGTTGGAAAAGCACAATTCTCTGATTGAATTTTATTCTGCCATCTTTATCTGGAAATCTCGTGAGGAGCTTTTAGATAAATAAAAGAAAGATAGAAAAAAAGTCCTGGACATTCCTGGGCCCAACCCTGGACCTTCCATTTCAGAGGGTCTGGAATGGGGCCCAAGTATCTCCTTTTTAAAAGCATCCCTGTGGTTCTTAGGATCGACCAAGTTTAGATCCGTGATCCTTATTAAAGGATGTATGTTTGTCTCTTACCTTTTAATTAGCCTATCTGAAGAACAAGTTTAGTATATAAAACACTGAAAATTTCTCAGAAAGACCCAATAAATTTAAAGATGCTCTTTGTGGTTTATTTGCTTGCTTGTTTCTGAAATACCCTCATACAAACAGGGCAAGAAAGCCTGTCTCCAGAGAATGGAAATGAAAGTTGATCGTTTTTTGTAGTGGTCCCTGAGAGAAATATCCCTAGGCCTAGGGAGAGAAATTCCTAGGCCTGAAATTCCCTTCTAGACCTCTGAAGCTTTTAGTTTCTGCTCGCATTTGTAGAGTGAATTATTCATTGGTGCTTTTAAGAAGCATTTTGAATGCTGTGTGTGCTAACATTGTCTAAGTGGTGCTCCTTCGTCAGAACTCGATGATCCTACAGGATATCGCCCACAACAGGTCTTTAATCCCGTTTAGGATTTGACAGGTAAAAGGGAGCCATAAAGAGTGATGGTTTTACCTGGATCTATTCAAGCTGTTTCCTTCAACTAGATATAAAACCTCAATGATTTTTATGGCGGCTAAGGACTGGAAGCTCAAAGGAAAATGTGGATTTAAATAAACCTTTAAAATAATAGTTTTGAAATAATTTTTTATTGAAGAGGTGAATTTAGAAGTGACATTTTTTTAATTTGTCATTTATAGTTAACAGAAGAAATAGTTAATATTTAAAACTGTGCGCTAAAAATATCTCACATGCGGCCACTAGGCTTTTGCAATATCGGGTCTCCCATCCATGTTCCTCTAAATTCATTGGGGAAAGAATCTATTGATTATGTAGTGTCTGCTCTCCATGTGCTCCCTTTCATTCCTGGTCCTTGTAGGTGGGAGATAGTGTTTTTACTAAATCTTCCTTTTAAGGAATGATTGTGATAAACCAACTCAAAGAACCAAATGGTGCTTTCAACATACGAGATTTCCCTCTTTTGCATTATTTTTTCTCTAAGGCACACTCTCTAAGGAAATATTGCGTTTTCACATTCTCTTGGATCTAGGTTTATTAGGTAAATTGTGACATGTCCAGAGTATCAGTAGAGAAAAAATGACGTGGGTTATTTATTTAAGTGGAACTCACATGAGGGCAACCTTCAAGTAAGTGCGTTCTTCTTTCATCCGTTTGTCTAATTATAATTTTTAAATTGTTCTATACGCGTGTCTTCATTTTTAAATAACTGCAACAATCGATATTCTAGTGGGTCTTATATAGTCCCTCAGAATTTCCAGACTTGGGTGGATGAGAGGCGACATTCCATCCTGCCCCTTTGGACTGACAGATGAGGAACTGAAAGCACAGACTTGCTTTCAAAGCGTGACTTGTCAGAGGTCATGCCTCCCAGCACACGGCCTCCGGATCCCCAGAGCGATGTCCTTTTTGCTGAAGGCCACTGCCTCTCACGTCATCTAGCAGCACCTGTTAGAATGAGGTCACATTTCACTCTGTATGTGAAATGTACCCTGATCCAAAATGTAAATTTATGATCACCCATTTTTCTAGGCAAATCTGTAGATTCAGAGGAAATGGAAGAAACGCAACGTGAAATAATGAAAGTAGCTGTTATAAAAGAGGAATAGCAACATGAAATCCACAGGGAAGTGAGCACCGAGATGCTGTCAAATGAAGAGTTCCCCTGTGGACCATTAGTCAGCATCCTGTGGCTGTTTCGTTACCCACAGCGGCCAAAGTCGGGACCCACGAGAAGTGAGAGTGCAGACCCGGCTGTTAGTGAGCTTGCTCTTTCATGTTGACCTCTTGGTTTTGGAGCAAATTTAAGTGCTTTGAATGTAGAGGAGAGAATTTGGATCCTTGACCTGGAGATGGGATTAGAAGAGAGATTGGGATGATTTTGGGTAATCTGAGTGTGTTCAGTGCAAACCTGCTGGGCAGGTGAAAAGTTCTCCTAGTTAAATCTCTTAGCGTGAACATCCCCAAAGTATTGTCTCTACTTCCTTCGAGGAGACTTACTCACAGGCGGTTTTCGTTAGCTCTGTGTGGGAGGAGCCACCTAGCCTTGACAACAGGCCCTTGGCACTTTGATTTTTCATTTAAACCTTTGGACACAGTTCACATACCTTCCTTGGGTTTACAGTAATACTGCTCAACTGGAGATGATGACGAGGGCATGGTGGCCTGGTGAGAAAAACCGCCGTCAGCTCAGTGCCCCAAACGGAAGCCGCTGCGTCTGTCCACGTGATCTGTACTCTCTGGGTGAATAAAGGCAGGTCTTAACATCCACGTAAGGGACCAGCTAGTGACCATTTCTGTTCTTCTTTGCTCTCCCTTCGAGGTGAAAGATTCAAAGTTTGCAAACCCTTCCTAACAGGAGCTTCATGATCCGGGTTGAAAGACGCAAAGAAAGAAATGGATTTCACCTGTGGACATTTTATGATTTTTTTTTTTTTTTAACTTGTAAACAAAAGCACTAACTTCATCTTTCATTCCTGATTTCTCAATTATCTTTCTCTATAAGGTGACATGTCTGCATTTTTCTTTTAGGAACCTTTCGAAGAAATACCAACCTAAAAAGAACTCAAAGGAGGAGGAAGAATACAGGTGTGTCTATCGTTGATAATTGTGTGGCGGCATCTCTGTGCCATTGGGGATGATTATGGAGGAAAGGAGAAATACATATCTACAACAGGTTGCATTCCCCCTTCATATTTATGTCAGTTTTTAAACTGGGGAGAAGCTGCAATAAAAACGTACTCAATTACCTTTTCTTATACTGAATCACTAAACCTATTCCAGATTGTTTCAATTAAAGTAATCAGGAAAAGCTTGGAGTATGATCGAAGCCAATACAGGAAGTGTGGATTATGTGTTCTACAGGCTTGATTTGTTGGGTTTTTTTTTTCTTTCTGCTTTTTCTCCCCAAATCCCCCCAGTACACAGTAGTATATTTTAGTTGCGGGTCCTTCCAGTTGTTGTTGTTTTGGGTTTTTTTAAATGCTTTTTATTTTTTTAATGATTGGCACCTGAGCTAACATCTGTTGCCAACCTCCTTTTTTTTTCTCCTTTTTCTCCCCAAAGCCCCCCGGTACATAGTTGTATATTTTTAGTTGTGGGTCCTCCTAGTTGTGCTATGAGGGTTGTTACCTCAGCATGGCCTGATGAGCGGTGCTAGGTCCGCTCCCAGGTTCCAAACCAGCCAAACTCTGGGCCACCGGAGCACAGTGCAAGCACGAATTTAACGACTCGGCCACGGGGCCGGCCCCTTGATTTGGTTTCGTACCATCAGGAGTCTCTATCGTACCACTCTTTCATCCGAGAAATATGTCCGTTTCAATCAGCAATTAAGGCATCTTATTTATTTATTTATTTATTTATTTTTGAGGAAGATTAGCCCTGAGCTAACATTTGCTGCCAGTCCTCCTCTTTTTGCTGAGGAAGACTGGCCCTCAGCTAACATCCGTGCCCATCTTCCTCTACTTTATACGTGGGACGCCCACCACAGCATGGCTTGTCCACACCTGGGATCCGAACTGGTGAACCCCGGGCCACCGAAGCAGAACGTGCGCACTTAGCCACTGCACCACGGGGCCGGCCCCAGCAATTAAGTCATCTTAACATGGACAGCCCAAAAGTATTGTCTCTAATTTAGATCTAAAATGCCCACTACATCAGTACCTACAGCGTGTGTATGTATTTTGGGTTATATTTGGACTGAGTATTAACAAAGCCAAATATTGCCTTCCATAGAGAAATTTGGTTTCGCAAAATGAAAAGGGTTCCCATTGTAATTAATTCGGAGCCATTTTGACAAGAACACTCTCATGTGTAATGAATTGTCAGGATCTCATGGGAGGTGGATGCAAATTAACCTGATCTTAATTAATATTCCGCCAGTGTGAAGCGGTGTTAGGATGGATGTGGCCTTGTTTGCAAAGGAGTCGCGTGTTCTGTTCGTAGGTACACGGCGTGTAAAGCCTTCCTTTCCACCTTGAACGAAATGAACGATTACGCCGGGCAGCATGAAGTCATCTCGGAGAACATGACCTCCCAGATTACCGTGGAGTTAACACGCTATGTCCAGGACCTGAAGCAGGAGCGAAAATCGGTAACAGAAATTTGTTCTTCCTTCCTAAGAGACGGACCAAAGATAATGCGAGTATCTCTAGAAGCTTTCAAGTTAAATGGAATCCTGTAAGATGCTGGATTGTAAACTGACACCTTTGAGTCTCGTACGAAAGTTATGGAGCCTGTTCCTAGAAAGTGTTTCTAGGTCTTCACACACAATTTCAGGAGTCCCTCAGACACTCAAACTCGTCTGTGGACCCCAGAATACTAATCTTTTGAGGAATTTAAATATATTTGAGGATATCAGAGATGAAAAGAGTAAGCAATATAATATGCTCTGTGGAATAAATAGTATTAAAATAAATGCATATAAGAAGTTCAGAAAAACCAGAAAGATGGCCTCAGTTACATCCACCCCGCTCTTTGGCTCATTCAGTGCTGTCTAATGAAGAAGACCCTTTTGTTCCTCTTGACGCCATTACAGTCTTTTCATAGCTTTATTGTTAACAAAGGAGAAAAATGTACACTCCAGTAAAGTCTATTCATAGTCAAGATTTTGCCCAAAGAGATTTATCTTTAAGCCGTGGTCCTTGTGCTTCCATCGCTTGTGAGGTGGCACCATAAGAACTTCTTAGTCATAAAGTACCAAAGTTGGCCGGGGATACACTTTTTTATATAAATTTGAGTCCATAATAATTCTTTTCGTGCTCTGGAGATCCACGAGCCAACAAGATAGAGAGGGTTCCTGCTGAAATGGAGGAGACATTAAATAATAATGACCAAAATAATGATTTAATGGAAGTGATGATAGTTGCTACAGAGTATGAGTACAGCTGCTGCGAGAGCATTTAACAGGGATGCTCACATGTTCATGCTCCGGGTCAGGGAGGAGCCTCCCGGGGGCCTCACCAGTTAAGGCTAAACCAGACCTGAGGGCTGAGTAGGAGTTGCCTGGGACAAGCATTCAAGACGCAGGAAGGTGTTTGGAACATCTGAGTTTCGTTCTTTCTAGCCTATATGTGCACACGTGGCTTTGGGTATATTTAGAAGTTAGGAAGAGATACATGCCTTAAGATCAGCCCATTGGTTTTTTTAAAAAATGTCGATAAACTGAGATGAAGTTTTTATCCATTCACAACTGGACACAATTTTGCTCCCCACCCCAGCACCATTTGTCAATGTCTGGAGATACATTTGGTTGTCAGGGAGATTGTCGCTGGAGGATTGCTACTGGCCTCCGGTGGGCAGAACCCCGGGATGCTGGCAAACATGCTACAACGCACAGAACAGCCTCCCCAACAAAGAATTACCTGGTCCCTAATGTCCGTGGTGCTGGGGTTGAGAAACTTTGCACTAGAGCCCCAAATTAGACGACAGTTTCCATTAGACCATCCATTACAGAAGATCTTTTCTTTTATACAATGGAAAGGAAGCAGAATACTAAGGTTCAGGATGAAGCACAAATACCTAATATCATCATAAAGTAAATACAATAAATCTGAACACGATGCTGGACTGCTTCCCCGGTTCTTGAACTTCCCTCGACCTTGCAGAGTTTATACTTTCTTCCTGTTTGTTACTCTGGTCCAGTGCTCTGTTTCTTGACTGACCTCCCTCCACCCATATAGTGTAGCATTTTAGCAACACTCTAAACAAAAACTCAGTGCATTTACCTTAGTCTGGAATGTAAATTCTACTTCTGGAGTGAATCGTGGGATGTGGAGCTCATATAACGTGGCCTCCTGTTATTTCTTTGAATTCCTCTTCTCCAACCACATGGCCTCCTCATCCATGCCCCATGTGATCCTGCCTCAGGGCCTTTGCACGGGCTATTCTCTCCTTGGATAGCTTTTCCCCAAGCCATCTGCAGAGCTCACTTGCTGACTTCTTTCTCAGGAATTGCCTTCTCATTGAGATCTATCTTGTCCACCTTGTTTAAAATTACAGAGTCCCTCCCACCTTTCCCCCCACTTCGTTCCTCTCCCCATCTTCACCACCTTCCTCTGCTTTACTTTTTTTCATCAATACTCACCAGCGTCTAACATTTTACAGATTTACTTGTTTCTTTTCCCTTCACCCCACACTAGAATGTAAGCCCCACAAGGGCAGGAATTCTCTTGTCCACTGTTGTTTCCTGAGCACCTGGAACAGTGCCCAGTGTGGCTCAGAGCAGGCTCTCGATAAACACTCCTGGAGTGAAAGAGAGAGTGGGGAAGTAGAAGCAGCAGCCTTCGACACAGCTTAGTTCTCAGCTAGACGTTGTTCACTGGCGGAGCATCCTTGTATTTCTTTGCCGTGTTATGATTGGGTTCTTTTGTTTTGCTTACTCACTATTAATCATATGTCCTTTTTACAGTCCGTCCTATCTGTATTTTGAGTTCTGTTCCTTTTTTATCAGAAATTATAGTAATTTATAAATTATAGGTAGTAGAGATATGCATTGAATAATGTCTTGCAATATACAGTGTTCCTTTTATTTTAAGGAGAATTACAGGTGTACATCTCTGACTCAGAGGTTCTTTTAGGAAGAGCTGCAAACACTGGGCTTTCTTGAGTCATTTTGTGATTACAGTCATGGGTCCTCACGTAACGACGGGGATCTGCTCTGAGAAATGTGTCGTTAGGTGATTTCCTCGTTGTGCAAGCATCATAGAGTGCACGTCCACAAACCTAGGTGGTACAGACCACTACACACCTAGGCTATATGGGACTAATCTTATGGGACCACCATCATCTATGCGGCCCATCGTTGACCTAAATGTCGCTATGCGGCGCATGACTGTATATTAAAATGAAATTTTAGGAAACTGTGAAACCTCTTAAAATTCTAGAAAGAATATCAGTAAGCAAATTTGTGGTGTTTTGATATAATGTATCGTGAACATTTTTGCTTTCTTCTGCCTAATAGTTACCATTGTTTTGAATGACTGCATAATGTAGCGTGATGTTGCGTGTTGATACACTGTAATTTTTTTAATTATTCTGATACTGTTGGATATTTAATTGTTTGGCCTCAGTGTTTATTCTTCAGATGATGGTAACTGACATCCATTGCACTTTACATTTAGTCCTCACAGTGTCCCTTGGGGAGGAGGGACCCGGATCTTACACATTTCACTCAAGTCGAGGAGCCTGGAGGCAGCAAGCGGGGAGAGTCAGGGCTGTCACGAATGTGGTGGAGCTGGGTTTCATACCCGGACAGCCTGTCTCGCCGGGCAGCACATGTTCGCACGCATGTTTTTGTTTCCACTGAGTTGCTCTCTTTAACTCACATCGGAGCACGCCAGATTGAATAGGGTGAACACCTTCGCCCGCAGTCAGCCTTAGAACAGGGGTCCCGAGACCGGCTCAGACTAACCAATACTTCTCCTTTAGAGCTTTCACTTTTGGCTACCCTGACTTTTCTTAGTAAATGATCTAATTTTCGTAAGGATGACTCTGAAAACCACAATAGAATGTGATCGCTTCCACTTTCTGGTGACATTAATTATTGGCAGAAGTGGCCCAACAAAGCTAGAACTCAAATCCGGGTCTTCTGACGTCAAATCCAGTTGCCTCTTTGCTGCGCTGCCATGAGGGGCTGACAGTGTGCTCAGATCTTCCTTAGAAGAGGGGAGAGCCAAAACCAGTGGTGTGTCCACAGACCTGCAGCTCCATACAAGGCTGTTGGGCGAGGAGAGGAAAGGACACGGGCCTTCCGTTCAACAGGTGGGCTGAGGATTCTGGCAGCCCACCAGCTGTGAAACCTTAGGCAGGTCATGAAAACTCTCTGAGCTCCCAGTTCTGAGTCTGTAACTGATCGCAACCACCCTACAGAGCTGGAGGGAGGATTGGGAGTAGACAAGCGCAAACCACCTATCACCGCTCGAGGATATGGAAATCTAGGCACTGCGCGCCCAGTACGTCTTGTCATGGGCATCCTGTTTCTCAGTATGACATCTCTCTTCTACCCCAGAGCTTTTTGATCAGGGTTTATTACAGAAAACAGTAGCATATACGGTCTTCCTTGTGACCGTCTATCCTGACCGTAATGGTCCAGTGCATTTAAAATGACCTTTCTAAACGTGTCGAATTGGTGGATGGCATTGAAAACAAGCTGCTTTAAGAAGTTTAGGTCCAGCTGCTATTTCTCATGGCTGCCTGGAAATAATGTCTTGCTTTATTAACATCAGTATAATACCTTTTGGGCCATTTGATACAGTGGTGGAATCCTGTCTGCCCAAAAGGACGATTTAGAATTTACAGGATTACTGCTGAAGCTGTTACTGCATGTAGAGTATTTCCAAGTTGAGTTCAGAATACTAATGGAAAGTTATTTTTCCTCTAGGTTTTGCTGTGTTTGAATAGATGAATCTCTAACAAGAGTGTGCATGGTGAAAAATAGCTCACTATGCAAAAGATGAGATTTCCTTCCCTTTTTTATTAAATTGAAAGGAAGTAGAAGAAAGTAAGGTCGTGGGAAAGGCAGACATTCTCCTTGCCTTTGGGGCCACACCGCGATAAACAAGCTGTTCGATCTTCAAGTCTTAAAACCTCCGATTGGAAAATAGGCTAGTGCTTGCTGTTTGCGTTTTTAGGAGAGAAGATGATTTTTTATGCAGCAGTTTCTACAGATACTATATTCTCATGTTGCAGTGCAGCCCACTCACATAATATTTGGAATAACCAGTGTTTGTCCTGACACACAAATCTGTAGGCTCGTTTTGATGAAAAGATTTGATTTTTTAAAAGTAAATTCTTTCCAAGAGAACCTTGACTTGCCTTCTGCAAGAGCGTAGGCGTTCAGGCTCTTCCCCGCCTGCCTGCCGTCTGAGCAGTAGTTCTCAGCAGGAACAGGAGCGCTCCTGGAAGACGGATGGGGTGCCTCTTAACTTCTTCCCTGAAGGGGCTCCACTCCGGCGGCTGTGTTTTTGGCAAGATGCTCACCTTCTCGTTAGAGATAATGGGATCAGCGACCCGTCTCTGGGGCGAATATAAATCCACATACACGGTGCCAGTTCCTTTGCTTTGTATTCAGTCTTTTATTTGCAAACATAAATC